TCAACTGTTGACATTTTTAAAGATATAAGCTCATTCTGATGTTACACTCATCGAGACCTTTCATTTGAGTACCCACATTAATTTTTCATATATTTTATATATTTATATATTATATATAAATATATAAAATATATGGAAAATTGATGTGGGTACTCAAATGAAAGGTCTCGATGAGTGTAATTTCGGGATGAGCTTATATCTTTAAAAATGTCAATGGTTCACGAGATATTTGTTAAATTGCACTGTAATTTCTTAAATATTGACATTTTTATAGATATAAGCTCATCCTGATGTTACACTCATCGAGACCTTTCATTTGAGTACCCACATGCATTTTGATATATTTTTCATATATATAATATATATAAATATATAAAAAATTGATGTGGGTACTCAAATGAAAGGTTTCGATAAGTGTAACACCGGGATGGGTTTATATCTTTAAAAATGTCAATCGTTCACAAGATACAAGGTCATTTCTTAATTATGTATCTAGAGATCATTTTCGAATGCAACCTAAATGCTTATCATAATTTCTTATCATATACATACACTGGCCACAAAATTTTGCTTATTTTCTTAATAATATAGATTAGTTAAGTTATTTATATATTAATTGGTGGATCTTATTTGCAGCAATTGAGAGAAGTAATACCTCACGTTAAAATGGAGAGAAAACTAAGCAAAATAGAAACACTTACGCTCGCTAAAAATTATATAATGGCATTGACTAATGTCATATGCGAAATGCGAGGAGAAGAGCAACCTTACACGTAAGTTATTTCGATAAATACACTTTTTATTTAATCATTCTGAATATTTAATTGTACGATGTCGCTTTTTTCGCGTTGCCGGATAATGTGTATAGTAGCTAAGTGTACATTTTTATCGTACTAGAAAACAATTATACTAAAATCGGTAAACATTTTCATTTTTAAATAATTTATTTTTTAAAAAAATTTTTTGTTAATATATTAATTAAATAATCGAACTTTAAACGACGAAATAATTATTTTAAATACAAATATACATTTTTTTAAAATAAAATAAATTATTTTTAGCTTCCGAGAATTTTTTTTTTCTTTTAATTAAAAAATTTAATTTTATTGATTGAAGATAAAGATAACAATTAAATTAAACAAGTTAAAAAATTATTTCTTGAAAAAATATCTTGATTAAAAATTATTTCTTCTAAAAAAAAATAATTTTTTTCTGTCAATAAATTTTTTCCTGATATTTAAATGCAATTATTAATCCATCTAAAGCAAGCGATAAAAATAATTTAGATAATAATGACAAATTTTATCGTCATGTTTCGGAGAGTAAATTTTTTTTTTGCAACGATATGATAAGAAAAAAATAAAATGTTTTATAGTGATTAAATAACTTTTGAGTATTAATTAAAGTTTATAATTCAATGAAGTGAACACGATTATAAAAACGTCGGTAGGCCCCGAAACTTTTAAAATGGGTAATAAATTTTTATATCAATTTACCGAGCAATAACATACCGATAGACGATTACGAAAACAAGTAGCCGCGAAATAATCTTGGATTACGATAGAGCGTACTTGAGAGAGAAATTAATATAAGTTAGTTATTAAAAGTCTTGAGGAAATAAAGTGATACTTGAGTTTATAGCGTGTTAAAAAAAGTTTAAGCTGGTTTTAATGAAATTTTTTTTTTTAATCAGATTTGTCGACGGTGAATGTGGATCAAGCAGCGGTGACAGTACCGGACAACTTGAGCTTAGTGGCGGAGAACAGCCAGAGGAAGCATCACCGGCTTCTATTCATGAAGCTAATAATAATAGTCTTCTGCATGAAGATCTCGAGCGCAGGATACCTTAGTTATAATCAAAAGATATATAATGAAATAACTAATAATTAAAAAGATAAAAAAGAAGATTATACTGAGAGAAAAAATTTATTTTATTAAAAAACTAGCAATTTAATGAGAAACTAGCAACTATGTGACTGACGTGACTTGTGAATTATAAAAAATTAAAATTTTGCTTTAGTAAATAATGACGTTTGTTAAATTGCACTGTACTTTCTTAAATATTGACCTTTTTAAAGATATAAGCTCATCCCGATGTTACACTTATCCAGAGCTTTCATTTGAGTACCCACATGCATTTTAATATATTTTTCATATATACATGTATATATAAATATATAAAATATATGAAAAATTTATGTGGGTACTCAAATTGAACCTCTCGATGAGTGTAACATCGGGATGAGCTTATATCTTTAAAAATGTCAATATTTAACAAAATACAAAGTCATTTTTTAATTTTTGATATTTTTACAGATGTAAGCTCATCCTGGTATTACACTTATCAAGAGCTTTCATTTGAGTACCCACATGCATTTTTGATATATTTTTCACATATTCATATATATAAATATATAAAATATATGAAAAATTGATGTGGGTATTCAAATGAAAGATCTTGGTGAGTGTAATGTCAGAGTGAGCTTGTATCTTTAAAAATGTCAATATTTCACAGAATACAAGGTAATTTCTTATTTATTGATATTTTTAAAGATGTAAGCTCATCCCGATGTTACACTCATTAAGAACTTTCATTTGAGTACCCACATGCATTTTGATATATTTTTCATACATACATATATAATATATATAAATATATGAAAAATTGATGTGGGTACTCAAATGAAAGGTCTTGATGGGTGTAGCATCGGAATGACCTTATATCTTTAAAAATGTCAATCGTTGACAAGATACAAGGTCATTTTTTAATTAATGATATTTTTAAAGATATAACCTCATCTCGATGTTATACTCATCAAGAGCTTTCATTTGAGTACCCACATGCATTTACATATATTTTTCATATATACATATATAAAATATATGAAAAATTGATGTGGGTACTCAAATTAAACCTCTCGATGAGTGTAATGTCGGAGTGAGCTTATGTCTTAAAAAATGTCAATAGTTCACAAGATAAAGCTCATTTTTTAATTAATGATATTTTTAAAGATGTAAGCTCATCCCGACATTACCTTCATTGAGACCTTTCATTTAAGTATTCACATCAATTTTTCATATATTTTTTATATATTCATATATATAATATATATATATAAATATATGAAAAATTTATGTGGGTACTCAAATGAAAGGTCTCGATGAGTGTAACATCGGGATGAGCTTGTATCTTTAAAAATGTCAATATTTCACAAGATACAAAGCCAATTCTTAATTATGTATCTATAGAGATAGAGCATTTTCAAATGCAGCCTAAATACTTATAATAAATTTAAACAAAAAATAAATTTATTCTCTCAGTATATGTGTCTATTTAAAATAAATATGAAAAGGGAGAGAGAATGCGAGAGACCAACTTCGGTATTTAAACTGCCGAATAATTGCGATCGATTTTTTAATTATTCAAAGTACCAGATTAGAGTCAACAGCCAAATTAAATCTATATAAATATATATACATAATATATAATATATTTATCTATTGATAGAGTGAGATATGAATTAAAAATTAATAAAATAAAGAGAAAGACAAGCCAAGAGAAGGATGATAATAATAATAAAAATAATAATAATAATAATAATAATAATAATAATAATAATAATAATAATAATAATAATAATAATTACTAATATATTTTTCACGCCATTTTTTATTGAGGCAAATTTATACATCGAGGACACACGACGCAATTAAACCAACGCTACCGTTTCTGTTTTTAATGATCCCGATGTCGTGAGAGAGTGATAAAGACTCAAGGTCGATTCATTTTTTAAATATTTTTCTTCTTTTTTTTTTTTTTTTAAATTTTCCATAAAAGCCATTTATTTATAATTAATACCTTTAATATATAATAGAGGGTCTAGAAACGAGTGGTTGCATCGGGTTCGGCCTCAAACGCGATACTGTGATAGAATAAATATATTTTTCGTTAAATTTCGTCGCTGACTCATAGTCCCTTGAATCTCGTCCTTAAATAAGTTCAGCTGGAATTTTAGCGAAGTAAATTTTTTTTTTTTAAATAAAATTTTTAAATAATAAAAGAGTATATATGCATACAAATAAATATACACATAAATACATAAATATAAAAAAAAAATGTAATTGGTGTGCCTTGTGTGTGATCCTCTGTAAGACTTAATATATTAATACAGAGAAATATATAATGTTAAATTATATATACGTATTAAAAAAAAATTTTTTTAAGAATTCGTTCTTATTTTTTTGGCTTAGCGGCAATACTCACAATCGATCGGTTATTGTCAATATATAATAAATAAAAAAATATATTTTTTTTAATTTCTCAATACGGAACTCGACTATGCGACGCATTGAGATAAAAAATATAGTAATTACTCGATTTTTATTTTTTAATTTTAAAATAAAATAATATATATATATTATTATATATTATATATATATATAATTATATATATCATAATTAATTTATTAAAAAACTTAAAATAATAATAATGAAATGAACATTCCAGAGGAATGAGGCTTGAGCCGATACTTATTTTCTTGCAAGGTTCACCGATGGTTGTGATTATATAGTTAGAATTGCTAATACTTTCTCTTTCGTTGGTTATATAATTAAAAACTTTACGAGAGAAATTTAACATATATAAGGGTGAGCTCTGAAGAATATTTAAGCCATTTTTAATTAATTATAACTTTTTAAGTAATTATTAAGAGAAATAAAATAAAAACAATGTTAATTACCGTCCTTATATATCTGTTTTAAATAACAATGCCCTAAAAATTCTGCAATTTATTTTATTGTGACATATGTGTGCGTAAATCATCCCCACATAAAAAAACAAGATTATACTCAGTATAATCTTAGATTACACTCAGTATAATCTTGTATTATACTGAATATAATCTTGGATTATATCCAGTGATATCTGCACCATTTTTTTTTCTAGCGCCTGCGCACTTAACATTATCATATAAGATAGTCAAATATTGTTTTAAATACTATCTAAAATTTTTTTCACCACAGATATCACTGAGTATAATCTGGGATGATATCCAGTGTCATCTTGTTCTTTTTGTGTATATTCATTGAGAAATATGTTTATATATTTGTTCTATATATATTGAGCGTGAGTCAAGAGTCGCGCTGAGAATTTAAATAATTAAATTAAAAAATTAAGCGTAATTTAAAAATAATTTATATGTACTTGATGGAAAGATTATTGATATATGTGTATGTATATTTTGATGATTTTTATTAATCGTCAATTATGAACAGATATTAATTAGTTTATGACAATTTATAAGTGACCATATTGTAACAATTAAACCAATTTTTATTCTTTTGATTCTTATAAAAATTGTTATTAGTTTATTATTATTATTTTTTTTTAAGGAATTATTTAATTTAAAATTTTGTTAAATGTATATCATATATACTTGAAAATATTGAATAGATTTTAATGTATATTTATACACAAAACTGCTGGAAAGATAAATATATATCTTTATGTGTGCAAATAAATTTTAAATAATTGTATATATTTTTTGAATTTAAGATATATAATATATATTATTGAATATATGTTTAAAAACTGTTGTATTATTTTCCTTGTCTTGTTAGACAATTATTTAGTTATTAATTTAAAGAAACGCATGATAATTACTGTGAAAAATTTTATGCACATTCTTCTAATAAAACCGGTTTTAGTATCTTAGTTTATTCAAAACATTAAAAGATAAAAAAATGAAATGCACTCAAGTATTTTTTTTTTTAATTCTAAACAATAAATAATAAAAGCGTGACTAATCGTTAAATTCAACAAAAAGTAAAGTACTTTTAATTTTCTTGCTGCCGGGGCTCAAATAAAAGTTTTACATAAATACTAGCAATCTTGCAGTCACTAGGTGACTGTTATGACTTGTGAACTATAAATAAATAAAATTTTGCTTCAGTAAGTATTGATTTTTGTTAAATTACACTGTACTTTTTTAACTATTGACTTTTTCAAAGATATAAGCTCATCCCGATGTTACACTCATCAAGAGCTTTCATTTAAGTACCCACATGCATTTTCATATATTTTTCATATATAAATATGTAAAATTGATGTGGGTACTCAAATGAAAGGTCTCGTTGAGTGTAACATCGGGATGAGCTTATATCTTTAAAAATGTAAAAAATTAAGAAATTACGTTGTATTTTGTCCACTGATGATATTTTTATCGATATAAGCTGATTCTGGAGTTAAGCTTATCGAGACCTTTCATTTGAATACCTACACGAATTTTTTCATATATTTTATATATATGATATTTCTCATATTTATGAAATATATAAAATATATGAAAAAATGATGCGGGTATTCAAATGAAAGGTCTCGATTAGCGTGACATCAGGATGAGCTTATATCTTAAAAAATGTTATTAATAAAAAAACGACGGTGTATTTTTTCCATTGATGATATTTTTAACGATATAAGCTCATCCTGATGTTACACTTATCGAGACCTTTCATTAGAATACCCACACGAATTTTTTCATATATTTTATATACATGATATTTCTCATATTTATGAAGTATATAAAATATATGAAAAAAATGATGTGGGTATTCAAATGAAAGGTCTCGATTAGCATGACATCAGGATGAGCTTATATCTTAAAAAATGTCAATAATTAAGAAATCACGTTGTATTTTGTCCACTGACGATATTTTTAACGATATAAGCTCATCCTGATGTTACACTTATCGAGACCTTTCATTTGAATACCCACACGAATTTTTCTATATATTTCATATATTTTACAAATATGAGAAATATCATATATATATAAAATATACAAAAAATTGATGTGGGTATTCAAATGAAAGGTCTCGATGAGCGTAACATCAGGATGAGCTTATATCGTTAAAAATATC